CTGATGCTGGGCGAGCAGCTGGGCAGCACTGGACCAGCTGTGGATGGTTTCAGGAAGGCTTTCATCCTGGAAGAGCATTTTCCATAGGGAAGAGAGTTGCTTGGCTGGTGTTGTTTGCAGTGCAGAAGGATGCTGTGCGTTCAGAGGTTGGATTTACCTAATTCTGGTGGTGCTCTTGCTGTAAGCACACCTGCCCATGGGATCTCCCAGGCGATAGGTAGGGAATGCTCTCGCTTTGGGGTGAAGAAATAAGAATAGGGGAAAAGCACAAAGCAGGGTGAGGTGTGGGGGAAGAGGTGTTGGGCTGAGTTGCCAAATATGCTGGGTAAAAATTAGCAGCTGCAAGCGTGCAAGGAGAAAAGGTGGGGAAGAAAGGGGGATGGAGACAGATGGAGAGAAGGAGGGAGAAAAGGAGGAGGTGGGAGAAAGGGAGGAGGAGATAACAGTGCAGAAGGGCTGTGGTTAGGAGTCCTGTAGCCCTGCACCCAGATGCCACCCGTATGTAGTGGGGTGCCAACGTCGAGCAGTTCTGCCTATCTGCCGTGGGGCTGAGCTGTGTGCTGTGGCCCTCTGGTGTGAAATTTGCCATGCCCCAGCAGAGCGAGATGTGAAAGGAACCTGGCTTCTGCTATCTGTGGGCAGGGGCTGCAGCAGTGCTGCTTTGAACAAGCTCTGGGGCTTCCAGAGTGAGAGCTGGAGAACTTCTGCTTCCCCCAGCACTGGGGTGAACCCTGCGAGCAGGGCTTGGTGCTTTGATTGAATACCTGGTGTTCTGCCCTCCTTCCAGTGCTCCCTACTGCTCTGTGAGGCTTTGCTTTCCTGGGTGAAGCTTTAACCCCATTTCCTCGTGCACGAGGCTGAACGGCTCAGAGACTTGGAGCAACACAAAGAAAGCTGTTTCCCAGGAAGATCTGTGGTTTTCTCTGCATGGTGAGGGCTTTTCCTCTTTGGCTGTGCACAGTCTGGGCAGGAGTTGCTGCCCAAGGAGGAGCAAACCTTGCTGCTGCCACCGTGTCAAGGGTAGGACGTCGTGTTCAGGTTGGGACAGTGGAAGCCCATGGGTTGTGCTCCTGGGAAGGACGTGGGTTGTGAATATCTGCAAGGAGGTAGCAGTGATCCTTGGGGCTCTTCTGGCTCGTCTGGGTGAAGCAGCACCTGCACGCACAGAGGTGACACTTGGTGGCCAAATGCCATTGGGCTCTGGTGCCATTGGGTGGCCCACCCCTCACTGCGTTGCCAGGGAAGCTCTGCTCACTCCGAGCTGCACACACAGCTTCTCTGTGCTTCCCTCTGTTGCAGCAGGGGAAAATAATGTGAGATTGGAGAAGAAAGTCAGTGAGTGGGTCCTGGAGCCCTTGGGCTGCTCCCCGGTGCGGAGCAGCACTGCCGCTGAGCGGCTCATGGCCCCCGGGCTCCGGTCCTTCACTAATTACTTCCAGGCCTGTACTCTTGACATTTGCAAGCTCCTGATTAGAGCAACAAGGGAGAAATCTCCAAGGGAGATAGAGGCCAAACTGCGCCACTAATAAAAGCAGAGATTGACAACCGGCTGGGAAGGCAGCGAGGGAGGTGGAGGGACTTGTCCTTGCAGTCTCGGTTTCTTTCTGAGCCTCTGGGATGATGAGAGAAGGTCAGGGCTTGTTAACGTCACCGTGAGGAGCAGCATCCGCCGCTGCCATATGCCTGCTGCCCCCAGGGCTCGTGCCAGCCTCCCAGTCCCTCTTAGCTGCATGGTATTATTGGACATGGACCTGAGCTGAGGCCACCTGCAGAGCACCCCATACGACCCGTGGTCTGCAGATGTCTGGAAAGCCCAGCCCTGCTTTCCTGCCTTCTCACTTGGTGTTGGGATTGCATTTTTGCAGCCTCCTGCGTTTTGAACTTTCTCTCCCTCACCCTTTTCTCCCCCATGTGCCAGCTTGCTCCCTTCATTCAGTGGCAGTGACAGTGATGGGGCAGCCTAGAAGATGGAGCAGGAGAGGCTCCAGCTGTTTGCATTGCTTTGGGGTGATGCTCATGGCGTGGAGCATCACCATGTGGCCCCAGAGGGGGCTGCTGTGAGGGGAGACACATGGCAAAGCAGCAAAGGGACCGTGATGGTGTGCAGCTGGCAGTGGGATGTCACTCCCTTGTTACCCAGAGGAGCGTGCAGGTGTTTCTGCCTCATCCATCACCCCTTGCTGCTGCCTTTTCCCTTCCCAGGCACAAGCATCGTCACTGGGGCTACTGAGTAGTGGGGGAGCTTGGCTGCATTGAAACATTTGAAACATTGCTTTCCTCCTTGTATCTCCGAGCTCAGAGTGGCCTCGGGGGTGAGCATGGTTGAGGCGTGTTGCCTGCAGCCTCCTGCAGAGCTGTTCCAGGCTGTTGGGTTCGTACCCATTTAGGTAGGTTTCTGTTACATAAATATGCAGAGCACTCTCTTTCCAGCCCCCTTTCCCCTCCCCAGTGCCCCATATATGCTCACCTGTGCCCAGCTGTCTGCAGCAGCCACTTCAGCTATCCATCTATCCATTTATGCCCTACCTATGCATCTGTTCATGTAACCACGTCTCTCCAGCCTCCTCAGAGTCTCATTCGGAGGCAGACAGCCTTCTTCCCCTTTCAGTCTCTCCTTTCCTGAATCGCACTGTCTCTGGCAGGCTCGCTGCTATGCGCACTCCTCGCCTACAGCTTCCTGTCCCAAGGGATAAACAACATTTCCCCAGTGGAGCATCTGGTCCTTGCAGTATTCTGCCCCTGGAGCTGCTCCCAGTGCTGGAGGAGGCTCAGCAGCGCTTGGGGTTGGGCTCTCTGATGGGTGGGGAGCTGCAGTGGGTTTGTGCTGACTTCTTTCCCTCTGCTGCTCCTTCTCTGCCACAGCTTTGCTTTCTCTGTGCTGTGTGAGCAGATAAGGCAGGAGATGGGGTGTCCTTCATCCCCTTCTCTCCCCCCAGAGGATGCCTGCTGTTGGCTGCATATTCAGGGTTAAGCTAACTTTCCAATGGCAAACTCAGCCCTGCTTTTCTCCGTGCTTCCCTCACTGCCCTATTTATCCAAGCTGCAGTGAGCATCCCTCCGGTGCCTGCAGCCATAGCTAGTGCCGGGAGCCAGCGTGCAGCTCTGCAGTGCTAGCCTGTGGCTAGGGATGTATTTAGGGTCACTGCGTCTCACTGGCACTGTGCTCTGCTCATAATTGGCCTCAGGAGCAATGCAAAACCTTTGCAGATCTCCATCAGTTTTAGTAGCCATGTGTGGGTCTCTGGACTAGGCTGGGGCCACGAATTTGTGAAAACCCTTTCAAAGGCCCTTCCATTCTTCCTCTAGCCCCTTTCCCAAGCGGCATTCAGCAGAAGATGCCCTTCTGGGGGATGGCACCCAAACGTGCTGTCCTACTGGTGTGGGCACAAGGAGTTGTACGGCATGGTGTGGGGAGCAGCAGCACGGCATGGAGTTTTGTCTGTAGGCACAGAGATGTGTCTGGGTGGTCTGTGAGGTCTTGGTGCGCCCCTTTGCTCTTGGAGCAGCTGAATGGAGGTTTGGGGTTGTCTCTGGACAGCAAGGCATTTATTTATTGCTGGTGTCTGGGGCTGCTCTGGTGGGAGCGGCGAACCCAAGAGCTTCTGACTGCAGTGTCACGGCAGAGCAGGTGTGAGGATGGCAGGGACAGAGCATGGGATGCCCTGAAGCTCCTTTGCATCCTACGCAGTCCTCTGGGGCACACAGGCAGTGAGAGGACACCACGTCCCCCTGCCCTAACCACGAGCATCCTTACAGCCTTTCTGCTGCACAGACACAGGAGAGAACGCCATCCCCGCTCTGCGTGCGTAGGGAAGCATCAACAGGTGGATGCAGGGAAAGAAGCAGCGAGGTGTGGCCGGGTGGGCAGGGCAGCCGGCATCCCGCCTCTCCTCGGGGGCTGCATTGCGAGCTGCGCGCCGTGTGTTGCATGATTAAAGCCCTCTCTGCAGCAAGGGGCTGCGAGGGTTAACGCAGGGTGCAGGGCTGCAAGCGGCCGTCCTTTGCTGGTGTGCGGTGCTGTGAGCGTGCGGGAGCCAAAGTGCCGGTCAGTGATGGAGCCGCTGCCATGACAACCCCGGGCAGACAGCCTGCGTGCCGCGCAGGGATGCTCCCGAGCAGCCGTGCCGCCGGGGCTGGGATGCTGCCGCCCTTCTGCACCCCGTCTGCCCCACTGCTGCGCTGAGAGCAGCCCCTGCTGCAGCCCCAACCCGCAGCCACCTCCTGCGCCCGGCACCGAGGAGCGCCGCGTCCGGACATCGCCTGCAGCTCCGCGGGGAAGTTTCGATCTTGCGACAGATTCGGCATTTGGGGAGCTTTGGTTTTTTTGGGGCTTTTTTTTTTTTTTTTTTTTTTTTTTTTTGGTCACATCTTCTCTGTTTTCCTTTTCCCTCTCTTCTTTAAAAAGCAAAAAGAACAGCAGCCAGCCAGCGACCCAACTCCAAGCCCGCTCTGCTCCCCCAGCCTGCTTTTATGGCCGCCCTCCCTTTCCTGCCAGAGACACTTACGTTTCCTCCTTGGGTTATAAACTTTTGATGCCAGCTCTCCGCAGCGCGTGCCCAACTGAATCTTAAAGTAGCGTCTCGAGCAGACACAGCTCTGTGACCTTCATCTCTTGCTCCGCACCTCCTCTCCTCCTCTTCCTCCTCCCCCCGGCCCTCCCGTCCTCCTCCCTCACCCGAGGATACTGGGGACTCCCTCCGGATGCCGCTCGGCAGGCTCAGTGCTCGCAGGCTGCCTTTCCAGGGGCTCTCCTGATCTCCGTGGAGCTCCGCATCGCTCGCCTCCGCGCCCGCCCCGGTGGTTTTGCTCCCCCCCGTCCCCACACACACGCACCCCCTCCCTCCTCTCCCCCCTTTTCGCTCCCGGTGGCCTCGTCGGGTGTGTTTTTTGCCTGGTGGAAAAGTCCCTGCTGCCCAGGATGGGGGTCGGTGGGTGCTTAGCCCTGCCCTGGAGGTGCCTAGTCGTCCTCTGTCTCAGGCTGCTCTTCCTTGTGCCCGCAGGAGTGCCCGTGCGCAGCGGAGATGCCACCTTCCCCAAAGCTATGGACAACGTGACTGTGCGGCAAGGGGAGAGTGCCACGCTCAGGTAGGAGCTGCTGCCTCGGGTTGTGCTGGGGGGAAGGGGGGTGGGGGGGTCTCGTTGTGCTGTTGTGTGGTGATGGGATCGGTGTGGTGCGGCGAGATCCCCGTGTGCGTAATGGGATCTGTGCGCCGTGTGGTCCTGGGACCGGCTTGTGAGTTTGCAGCCGCTTTGGGGAGGATGTGTGGCTGGGGGCTGCGCGCGGAGCGACCCCCTCCTGCCGCTGCCTGGTGCCAGACGTGGGGCTGACAAAGGGGCGAGGTGGCAGACGGCAACTGAGCGCTGCCTGCAAGTTGTCTGCATGCGGAGGAGGGTCCGCGCCGTGCCGGCGGTTTGCAGGGCTCCGATGCCTCGGAGGTGTCGGTGCCTCGGCTCGATCGCTTGATAGTCTCTGCACGGATCTGTTAATATCAAATCAATCTTTTACTCCAGGGGTGCATCTTATGAATTCTGATGGATGTTTTACCTTAACGCGGGTTGCTGGAGGAGAAATGCGAGCGGCTTAGATGCAGATGGGCCACTTGTAGGTTGCACAGTACAGCACAGCATCCCTTTTCGTTCCCTGAGCGAGTTACAGGTGTACGTGGTGCATCACCTGTGTAGGACATGGGCTCTCAGAGGCACGGCAGCAGTGCAGGTGGATGAGCAGAGAGCACACGGATTGTGTCAGGGCTTTGGGTTGTGCTGTGCAGGTCGTGCTGTGCGTGTTCCCTTGCTCAAAACCTGAAAGCCAGGGCTGCAGCAGACAGCAGCTGCTCCCAAAGCCACAAGCAGGCTGAGAGCATCGTGCCCTCCGTTAGCCAGGGCTGCTTGAGGCTGCTGTGCTTGGAGGTACAGGGTCAGACACGTTCCTCGTGGTCTGGGAAAGGGGAAACATTTGGTAAATAGTGTGGATAAAGGGACTGGGTGCTGCCTGGAGGGCAGGGATGCTCAGTACAGTGCTGTCCCCTCTGGAGCAAAGCTCCAGGAGATGCTGTAGGGCTCCCTGTGGGCACGAAAGAAGGCAGTGGATGGATTTCTGGCCAGGGCTAGAGATGTGCCCCTGTTGTCCCTACACCTGCCCAGCACGTGCGCTGGGAGCTGCAGCGGTGCAGTGCTTTGGGACACTGCTTTGTGCCAGGGGCTGGGGACCCACTGGGACACCCTTGTTGTCGTGCCATACAACAGCACCATCCCAGAGGTGATGCTGGTGGCAGGCAGCAGAAGTGATGCCCATGGGCTTGCTGGGAGCAAGAGCTGCAGGGGCTGAGCCCCCTCCCCAGGGCCAAAGGCTGCTGGGCTCCGTGCTGGCCGAGGCTGCTGCCAGCAGAGGGCTGACTTGGATTTCTTTCTTTTTTTCTTTTTTTTTTTTTTTAAAGCTTCTGGCCTCCTTTTGGTGAGAGGGGATGTTCGTGAAGCAGGCAGCCCTGGCATGAGGGCCTTTTAGCCTTCCTGTAAACTCTGCAGCCCCCATTGGGACTTAGAGGGATCCCTGCCCTGAAAGTGTTTTCTGTGCCCATTTCCCTTCCCAGCATCTACTCCTGCCCATGCTCTGTGGTGCACCTTCCTGTGCTCTCATCTCCCTTTCTGTCTTCAAGTTCAGCTTTCCCTGCTGCAGTTGTTCCATTTTGCTCTAAGCCCCCCAGTCTTATCTTGCATTGCTGTTTCCTAGTGTTACACCCCCTTCCCTGCAGCCTCTGGGCAGCAAGCAGCCTTCTCTGGGGCTAAGGGTTGGGAAGACATTAGAGACAGCAAGCACAAGTGGAGCACTGCAAGGATTTATTTGTCCCGTTGACAAGTAGGAGGAAGGAATTGCCCTGGGCCCAGCAGGCAGCCACGCACCTGCAGCCAGCACTGTGATATGGGGGCAGAAGGCACACGACATGCAGTGGTGGTGTGCTGAAGGACTGTGCAACTCATCTGAGGGCTCATCTGAGCTGTGTTGGAGCTTTGCTGGGCAGAGAGAAGTTGCTGCGTGGTTCTCAGCGTGGCTTCGGGTCCTTACAAGAGGGGTGGTGGCTGCTGGTGGACATGCAGCGTGGGGACCCTCATTTGACCAGCTGCTGGCATGGGGTGTGGGCTTCGTTGTCCTCCTCTCAACTCGTTGCTTGGCTCTCAGACCAGAGAATGAGAGCCACAGCTCCAGGTCATGGCACTTGTAGACATAGCCACCATCCTGCCACCTGGAAGGTCCCCATGCAGCCAGCACAGACACCAGAAGGGACATCAAAGGGTTGAGCCTCCGAGTGCCATTGGCTTCAATAGGGCTGATGGAAGCTCTTTGCGTTCTGAGATCTTGAAACCCACATTTCATTGCAGAGGGGAGTGGAGAGAGAGAGAGCAGAGCTGCGTGGTAGCAATGGGGGAACATGGAGGCCTTTCAGTCTGGGTGTTCTTTTCCTGTGTTGGATTTTGGGTGCTCTCCTCTCTGTTTCTCCACTCTTTTTCTTGGGAAGGCTCCGCAGAATCCTTGCAGAAACAAAGGCTCCATCTGCAGGCAACTTCTGGGTCATCTTAGCTCAGCAGCAAACGCTTCCCCCACAGGCAGAGACTGTTGATAATTCACTACTTTTTCTATTGTAAGAACAAACAATTCCCATAATAGTCATGCACCTTTCCTCTCCGGGGAACTGGCGGCAGTTTGCAAATTCTCTGTGTGCTATTAAAAATAAAATCAAGCTTCCTGCTCTCTGACTCCAAAATACAGAGCCTGCTGTGAAGCAGGGCAGGTGTTTGGATGGCAACAGCAACCCAAGCTGTGCACCAGTTTGGGGCATGGAAAGGAACAGCAAGCACACTGGTAGCAGTAAGGAAGGGTAGGGATTAATTGCCCAGCTGGGATTTGGTGTGGATTCAGTTCTGCTTTTGGGAAGCAGAGCCTCGGGCTGGATGTGTGCTGCCTTGGGATGGCACTGGGGTGTTGTCCCAAAGGATGAGCCCAGCCTGAAGCCTTGCTGTGTGTTTTAACACATCTGCATCGCACTTTGTAGCCTCTTTTCCATTGCCAGAGTTCAGCATCAATCCAGGGTTGAACTGCAGGCAGAGCTGCTGCGGTGGCAAATATTCAAGTGGTGTAAAAGCAGGGATATATAGTAAATTGGGTCGTATTGCTGGTGCTGCCAGCAAATCGACCTTTTATAACAGGCATCAGTACAGTTCATAAAGACGTAAAACAACAGCTGCTCAAAATTTCAAGGCTTTATAGTTTTATCTGTATTTAAGAAATATTGGCTCTTTTCTTTTTTTTAAGGACAGAGGCAGTGTGTGTGAGCGCCTGGGGGGAGCACTGGGATGGATGGGTGCATTGGGCCTTGTGCTCAGCTGCAGGGACATCAGCACCTGGGGGGGTTCCTTGGCTGCTCCCTGCCTCAGTTTCCCCATCTGTAGGTCGGGGGCAGCAGTGGCTGTTTCTCAGAGGTAATTAGAAGAGAAAGCTGGCTGACTGTACCAAAAGTAGCAGATATCTGTACCTGGGTTTCCCACTAAGGCACATGGCAGAGATGCTTTTTCTCTGTATTTGAAGGCTTTTTCCCACAAAGCCCCCCTCCACCTTTCCATTCACTGCACCCCCCCCATTGCTCATCAAGAAGAAGGACCAAAAGAATGGTGTAGCTTTACCAGCTCCCCAGTGACTGGCTGTCTTTTGTCCATTAGCCAGTATGAGAACAATTCCAATTACAAACAACAACAGCAAAAAAAAAAAGAAAAAAAAAAAGAAAAAAAAAAGAAAGCCGGAATAAAACACCACGAGACGCCTTTCCTCCATTTATTTTTGCAATTATAGTTTTAATTATTTCTGACAACGCCGCCGCTGCTGCTTCTCCTATGTTTTATTTATTTCTTTGTTGGTCACCATCTATTGCAGTGTATTTCCCTGCAGAATACAACTGCAGGACCGTGGGCTGTGGGTGTAGGTCTGGGCAGTCAAGAGGTCAGCTTGGCTGCTTGCTTTCTGCATTGCCATCACACACAGGTTTGGTTTGCTTGCTGCCAGCCCTCAGTTTCCCTCGCCATTGATGGGGGTGCTGACACTCCCCATGCAACCTGGAGAACAGGAGCATTAACACAGCCACGTCTCCGCTCTTAAACCTGTGCTGAGAAGTGGGAAGAGGCTCCTGCTTTTTGTGTGCAGATGCTCAAAGCGTGGGGATTAGCAGGGAGAAGATTAGCAAGGACTTGCTCCATCGCTGCCCCTTTCCTCCCCCTCCTCCCCCAAAAGTTTTCTGGAGCAGCTAAATATATACCTGCCGTTTCCAAGGTAGAGCTCACTGCATGTAGGAGCTGTAATTGGCGACTCAGTGAAATTACAGCCACAGATTCTGGCATTTGGATCCTCCTGGCTGGCATAATAATTTCTCCCCAGGTAGCTGGTATTTAACTTGTCTTATCTGCTCCTGATAGTTATAATTACAGTGCCCGCTAATTTCACTGTAATGCTGCAACTGCTGGAGGGTGGTGTTGGGAGGGCCCCGTCCTGGCCAGCCCTTGGCCAAGGGGACAGATGTTGGAGCCCCAGTGCAGGTGATGGAGGCCCAAGGTGCAGATGTTGGAGCCCCAGTGCAGGTGATGGAGGCCCAAGGTGCAGATGTTGGAGCCCCAGTGCAGGTGATGGAGGCCCAAGGTGCAGATGTTGGTGCTCTGGTGCAGATGCTGGTTCCCCAGTGCAGATGCTGGAGCTGCAGTGCAGATACTGGTTCCCCACTGGAGATGTTGGTGCCTCAGATGCCATCTCAAGCGGCAGTGCTGCACATTTAGCGGTCCATGTTTTGCAGCTGGAGCCTTGCTGGATGCACAGCAGAATGCAGCAGGCCCAGCCCAGCTCTGTGCCAGGAGGCATAGATGTCACTTGCTGTCACCTCGAAGGCCAGGACACAAGTCCCCCTACTAGTGAGAAACCAACCTCCACGCTCAGTTGTTGAGCTCTGCTAGAAATAGCAACAAGCAGCGATATTCAGCTCCGGGGGATGAGACTGAACTGTTAGTAATCCGTTCACTATAGCGTACATGCGATCTTTTTGCAAGCATAA